TTTTGATCTAATTAGATTATATAAATCAATTAATTAATTTTGTATAATCTAATAAAATTTGATAAAAAATTTTTAAATTAATAATTCTATAAAATAATTAAAAAAAATTTTATTATAGTAATTGTTATAAAAAATTTAAAACATTTTTTTTCCTCTCGCAATATCATAAACAGGGCGAATTTTTATTAGGTATTTAAGTAGTACATTTATCACTACCTACAATTATGCTAGCCTATAACCTCGTGCTGCTACATTTAAAGACTACCCAGATCAACATGTACTATACTACTTGTGTCCTAATTCTATAGATAACTCAGTAGGGTTCTTATACTTACTAGGTTACTACAAAGAGGGTGTAGTATATACTCCCTAATTTTCTATGTTTTATACATTTTCAGACTAGGCCTTTTTGGTAACTTATATCAAGTCTGAGAACAAGTACTTGTGAGCTGAAGCCGCTACAGTTACCTACTACTGCTCTTGTAGAGTTCACCCAAACCCCGGTACCTATTTTACAAACTCCCTCCCATATCTCTGGAAACCCAAACTCCCAATCCTACAGCCCGGAAGGGCAAAACCCTTCTTTCATTTTTTTTTATTGGCCTGATTGGTATAGTGTTTTTGCTAAACACCTCGGTTCTGTCCAATTTTCTGGTATCCGGTTGATCATCCTTTATATAATAACTGTCAAAGATCCGTGCTATCTTTCTACTTAGGTCTTGCCAAGCAGGCTTCTGTACTTTATAAATTCACTAGATTTATCCAGTAGTTTTATTCGGGTTTTGTATAACTTGTACATCATACTATATGTTTCACTATCTCTTAGTACAAGCTGGTACAACCACCATTACAGGTTCTACAACCCAATAGGATACAGTCTTCCAAATGTATTTTTTATAATTCAAATTTTCGTCACGGTGGGATTTGAACTTTAGTCTTGCTGCTTGGGGGTGCGATAACTTGCCAACTTCACTAAGTCGCTACACCCTTTTAAAAAAATTTTAAAAATATAGCTGTAGCTAAAATTTTTCTAAACCTTAAATAAAATTTTCTTAATAACTACTTGATAAAATTTAATAAAATTTTTTTAAGAAATTTTGTTATTTTATAAAACTGATTTAAAAAATTTTTTTATTAAATTTTATTAAATAGTTATCAAGAAATTTTTGTTTTAAGTTAAAAAAATTTTATTTATAACTATTTTTCTTAAAAATAATAAAAATTTTCTTAAAGTTAACTAAATTTTTTTTTAACAACTACTTGATAGAATTTAATAAAAAAATTTTTAAATAAATTCTATTTTTTTTTTTTTTTAATCTTCACAATGTTGTATGAAAGCAGATTTTTATTAGGTATTTTAGATAGTACATTATTAGTTAATGAGAATATATTCTAGCTATACCTGCGCCTTTTGAGGGCCTAATTAAGTAGCTATCTATTACTAGGGTCTATACTAGATGCTGTACCTATAACCCACTATTATTTAAATTATCCATTTAAACTCTCTGATGTCCCCCGTCCTGTACCATTCACCTCAATCATATTAGCACATAACCTTATGCTGCTTCTTATTGAAGACTACCCAGATCGACATTTGCTACACTACTTGTGCTCTAATTCTATAGATAACCTAGTAGGGTTCTCATATTACCAGTTGCTCTAGAGAGGGTGTAGTACATACTCCCCTAATCTTTCTATATCCTGCGCACTTTCAAATTAGGCTATGAATACCTTCTGCAGCAGCTGAAACTATCATTAGCAGTCAGAGCGAACCATTAAACTGCACAATTCTGATATCCGATACTCTTGCAAGATCTCGATACCCACATTAAGCCAGTCCTTATACTAATCCCTCCCCAACTACCAAACCAGTTAGCCTGGACAGGTCATTGTACCTAAGCTTTAAGTGCCTTTTGGTTTTACTTCCCTTAGTTTCTAATTTTATAGCATAGAACCTTTTCTTCCAGTATAACTCCAGCAGTCAGGTTGGTGGACCCTTCTTGCACCAGGGTTTTCGTCTGGTTCTTTAGTCTCCGGTTTTTAACTTTTTCGCAGTATTGTTGAAGATCTTCACTACCTCTTTACTTGGGTCTTGCCAAGTAGGTTTCAATTATTCCAGTTTCTTAGATTTGGATCGTCCAAGAACTTCTATTTCGAGATAATAGTACCAAGATTACAGGTAATATACCTAACTGATTATCAAATAATTGTTACTATGCACAGGCTTATTTTTCTAAAAATGTCTCTGGTAAGATTTGAACTCTAGACCTGCTGCTTGGGGGTGACAACTTAACTACTACTCTAAGTCACCACACTCTTAATAAATTTTATTAATTTATAAAATTAATTTAAAAAAATTCACTGTCAAATTCTTTTAAACAGTTGTTAAGAAAATTTATATAGAAATTTGAAAAATTTAACTTAGCTTATCTAATTTATATAAATCATTTGTATATAAAATTTGAATATATAACCTTAATTTGCATTTATCTAAAAATAAAGGGTCCTAATTTTCATATCCCAAATTTAATATTTATACTCTCTGCCAATTTAACATTTTTTTTAAACTTTGAGCGAAGATATTTTAGTAATTATCAAACCAAATTTGATAAACTCTTTTTTCTTTGAATTCTATAGATTCATAGAATTCAAATAAAAAAAAGTTCATTGAATTTAGACCAGTAGTTACTGAGATATTTTTGCTTAAAGTTTGAAAAAAATCAAAATATCTATCAAAACAAAACTATGCAAAATTTTCTTTAAATTTTGAACAAAGATATCTTAGCAACTACCAAGCCAAATTTGATGAACTTTTTTTGTTTGAATTCTATGAATCTATAGAATTCAAATAAAAAAAAGTTTATTGAAATTGACTTGATGGTTGTCAAGATATCTTTGCTCAAAGTTTGAAAAAAAATCCAAAACATCTAACAAAACAAAAGCTGTGTCCCAATTTTTTCAAACTTTGAGCAAAAATATCTCAACAACTACCAAGCCAAATTTGATGAACTTTTTTTGTTTAAATTCTATAAATTCATAGAATTTAAACAAAAAAAAGTTTATCAAATTTGGCTTGGTGGTTGTCAAGATACTTTTGTTTAAAGTTTGAAAAAAATTGTAGCACAGCTTTTGTTTTAATAGACGTTTTAAATTTTTTTTAAAACTTTGAGCAAAGATATCTTGACAACCACCAAGTCAATTTCAATAAACTTTTTTTTATTTGAATTCTACAGATTCATAGAATTCAAACAAAAAAAAAATTTATCAAATTTGGCTTGGTAGTTGCTAAAATATCTTCGCTCTAAGTTTAAAGAAAATTTTGCATATTTTTGTTTTGATAGACGTTTTGATTTTTTTCAAACTTTGAGCAAAAATATCTCAGTAACTACTGGGCCAAATTCAATGAACTTTTTTTTATTTGAATTCTATGAATCTATAGAATTCAAAAAAAAAAAGTTAATCAAATTTGGCTTGATAATTACTGAGATATCTTCGCTCAAAGTTTAAAAAATGTTAAATCTGCAGGGGGGTATAGATATTAAGTTTGGGGGTATGAAAATTGGGACCCAAAATAAATTAGCCAATAAAAATTGTTATGATCAAAACAATAATATTGATTATTTTTACGTAGCAGCATTGTCACTAGTAAAGGTTATGCCTATTTTTGGTTCTTGAAAAATTATTTGTGGTTCTTTGAACTTAGGTCTTGTTGAACATAAATATGAAAATTTCAAGTCGTAAAAACGAACAATGATTTCTATGTTGTGCTAAATAAATCAACCAATAAACGTAAATTTAATGTATGACAAATTTGCAATCATAATTTTTACTTACTTTATTGGTAGGTTCATAAAAATCACCAAAAAATTCGCAATCACTTGTAAAAATCTGATTGATCAAATCTTTATAAAACAAATAGATGTGTAAACACCCAAACTAATATAATACATACTACAAATATCAATGATTAATAAGCACCCGACATAAGAACCCTGCATATACGTAGCATTTAATGTGAGACATTCAAATTCAAACTTTAAAAAATTATTTCATAAGAAATTAAGTTGTTAACACACTAAATTCGAAAAAAACCTTTTTTATAATATTTTATTATATATAAAATACCAAGAAAATTTTACTACAGAGTTAAAACTATTTAAATTCAACTATGTTCCTTTGAGTATGATCTAATAGAAATACCTTAACAAAACGTTTGCAATTACCTTACATTAATCGACAGATTGTCTATGGTATATGCTGTATATAATATATATTTTGTATGGTCCAATAGAAGACGAATAAATTTGTCTTCTAAGTGGAGTCTAATCTTTTTTTGATTCTTTTGCACAACAGTGAATGTTGGCACGTTAAAGCCAAGAACGATATTTGATCTTTTATTAGTGAAACGTTACATTCTTAAAAAGTACTGTACATCAGCCAATCAGACGAATTTCCTCCTATGAACTTGGGCCGGAAGTTGAGAGTGCATTTAGAGAGGTCTCTCTGTATTATTTATAAAATTTATAATTAAAAGTGTACATTTTAGTCCCAAATCAAAATTTTATAAAATAGTTCACTTAGAGGTGTGCATTTATAGAGCGAATTTTAATATAAAAATTTCTCGCACACAGAGTCTAGAGGTGTGCATTGTTAGCATTAATTCATAAACTCGGGACCAGAAATAAGGGTCCATTTAAAGAGGGTGTGCAATTATAGAGGGTGCAATTATGAAAGTTTACCGTGGAGGGGACATACTATGGTCATTTAGTCATCGTAATTTTTTGAATGACCAGGTCATTAGCCAACCCTGAATATAGTAGATACCAAATTCTTGCCAAGGAATCATTTTTATTAGCGGTTTTATAGACAAAATTTGGAGGTAAACGTGATTTCTTAAAAAAAATAAGTTGTGGGTGTCCCTGATTTACATTGCGATATCCAAATATATTCAGATGGTTAAATTAAAAAAAAATGAACGTTATTTTATACCAGTTTCGCTAATGGATGACACTTCGGGGGAACACGTAAATGACGAAGCTCCAGACGATTCGTTAACTTTGGGACAATTAAAAAAAATAGTAAAACAATTACCAAATAAGCAAAAGGTAAAGTTACAAGCTTTCTGTTATGTAAATTATTTTATGAAAAATCGCGTATTGTTTATAAAATTTACTCAAAATTTGCGCATATTGCTAACTAGCCAAAAGAAATATCTTTTTCATACGTTGATCACGATAGTATTTCAAAAGAAATTGATGAGTTTTATAGCTATGCTGAAATTTCACAATGCCTAGAGAACAAAAATATTTTTGACGATGGATTCGGTGAAAGTAAGTGACATAAAACATAAATTTCAAATGGTTATAAGGTGCTTTTTAATATAAAATATTTTTTGATAGCCTGGACTACATGTACTATGTCTGAACGCCGTGTTTACATCGAGTATTTGTTGGAAACTTTGGAATTAAAAGATCCTGAAAAAAGATTTTTGTCTGCAAAAAAGTTATTGTATATTGCTCAAGGTGGTGTATTATACTCGTCGTTCCGGATTATTTTGAGCAAATTACAAGTCAATTTATACTTGGCTGATCCTCGAATTCAGGAACATTTGGTGAAACTATAACACAAGAGCAACACCTTGAATGGATCATGGAAAACAACAAGTTGCTACGAAAATGTGGGGCTCTCCTCTCATATTTCCAAGCTCTGAAGCTGGCGTGTCATGCACATGATTATTATAGGTATTTTACCTACCAATTGACTTTCTCTCCAACATATGTATACTATCAACTAATTACTATCAATATATAAAGCCGCCCGGATTTTAACGTGGATAGACAAGCATATATCGACGACATAAATACTGAAATTGGTTTCTACTTGACATTGTTATATATGCTTGTCGAAACTCATCGAGGGGACGATTCATTTGGAACTGAGCTTGGTTGGTTTATTAATATTTTGAATTATAATTTAAATGCAATTTCATAATATCTGATATCTTAACTGCAGATTACCTATTTAGCTGAACTTAATCCGCCAATGGCTGTATTCCTGTTTGAGATAGTTGCTTCATTACGAGAGAAAGAAAAGAACGCCAAAGGCTATCCTGTTAAAAAGGTGACTTAAAAACTTTTATTACGACCAATAATTTTACATAAGCTAAGGTGCTGACACGTAGATGGAACTGTCTAAACAAATACGAAAGTTTCTCCTTCTATTATGGAAAGTTATTTTAGCAAGTTTAGGCGGATTAAATGATATGCCGAGACTGAAAAATACTGTTAGAACAATTAATGGACTACCACCTATTTATGATAAAGGTAACGTATCTATATCTTGTTTATTTAAATATTATATGCATTACTTATTATTTATAACTGGCTTTTTAGGTTTGCTAACCAAGTCCACACCGGTGGATTATTACACATTCCAAAATGAGGCAACGCAAAAATATCCAACATATGTTCCACCTCCTTGTCCATTTATTCCAACTTACCCCATTGCTGCAAGTCTATTTCCGAGTGCAAATAACCATATTAATGGAAATGAGTCTTCAGGACAAAATACATCATCTGTTAATTGCAATGGAAATAGCAGCCAAGCTCCAAAATCAAGAAAACAACAATTTCAAACAAATCAGCGGCAACCATTTATTTTTCCATTTTCAAAATCTACTCCTAGCGTACCAAAATCTATACAGGAGGCTGGTGACTTATACCTTAAATTTATGCACATAAACTTAGGTACTTTTCAATGCTGGAAGGAAAGAATTGAAATGAAAAAGCTACCTACTGTAGATATAATCAACAACATATATATCAATGAAAATGTGAAAAATCAAATTGCTAATAATCACGATGAATCTCAAATCAAGATAACGAAAACAGACAAAGAGAAGATCGAGCGGATTGAAATTCTTTATGTATGCATTCTTTTTTATTGATATTTCGTTTGATTTGACTTTCATTGATATCTGTCATTGATGCCATAACCACGGATAAACTTTACCTTTTTGTTTGATTGGGCCATTACCTGTTGATAGAAATCAATTCTTCCTCATCTACAAAACATTGTCATCATGCTTCTTAAACTATTACTTGCCACAGTGTCTAACAATAAGAATTCTGATAACGATAAAGGCGGAGCTTCTGCCAATAATGGTGGGCATGGAAAATCGTTAATCTTATATATAACAATGCAATAAATTAACTTATATTTAAATATATAAACGTCCAAGATCATATTTTTGAAAATGCTATTAATTATTCAACCTCGAATGGCAACACAATTGAAGAAATAGACATCATGCGACATCGTGAAATTACGTCAAAGGCGGTGTCAGCTATAATTCTCCTAATGCTCAAACATTTAAAGTTGTCACGTATCCTTTCGATTGTCATATTAATACTATGAATGTATTGAATTGATAACTTAAACCTTAATGAGAATAAAACTACAATAGATATATTAAAATTTGAATACTTGTCGCAGCTATTGGTCGATTCAAATTGTTTGCTTCTCATATTGAAAATGTTTGGTTTGCAAGATGTGAGTTTAATGGTCAAAGCTAAGAATGAAGTCGAAAATATGAAGTAAGTGAAATGATTAGTTATTATTAATTATTATTAATTATTATTATGATTATTTATTATATCATTATTATTATTATTATTATTATCAGTTTTTTTCAATACTGCATGAGCATCAACAATGATGCAAATGAAATCAAACAAGCGGATAATAATATGATCATTGATAATCAACAAGAATATTCGCAAGCATCATACAATATACAGTCTGATCAATCCAATGACCCACAATCTAATACAAGTAATGAAACTGACATTGATTCAGATTATTGTTGGAGAAATTTTTTTGCAGCTATAAACTTCCTAAAGATATTGCAGAAATTGACCAAAAGGAAGACCCACCGAATTTTATTATTGGTACAATACAAATCATCGGTTAGTAGTATACGATCAAATGCACTGTATTAAAATAATTGCGATTGAGAAATATTTAATTTGAACAGGCTATTTTGAAAAGAATTCTAAAAGTATCCCATCCATTATTGGAGTTATATGCTTTAAAAATATTAAAGAGTCAAATTCCATTTATTGGAAGAAAATGGCGACAAAGTATGAGTTCTGTTTTTTTCTGTAAAAGTTAAATGATTACAAAGAGATTTCTGTTTACCTCATTTTATTATAAAGGTAATATGAAAGTTATTACTTCGATATATTTGAGTTGTCGCCCAGATCTTAGGGATGAATGGATTTCGTCGACTGATGTGGATGCCGAGATGGATGACGCTTTGGCAAGTTTCTTTTGATAAATTGTTTGAATTTTTATAAAGCTCTAACAATACTAAGAGCTGATTCCTATATATTGGCAGCCTCAAGAACAAAACCTTCGAACATTGATTAAATTTTATAATGAAAGAAATTATTTTCCTCAATGCGATCAACAGGACGGCATGTACTATGATAATAGCAACAGAAACCTTCCTGATATATTCCCTCCATACCATACAAAATCTCTCAACCATGTTAATTTTGCCTATATTCATGATGATATCATGTTAGACGATTCATTCCTAGAAAATTGGGAACAATGGCTTCAAGAAGAAGTGTATAGTTTCTCTGTAATGAAACCTCACCTAAAAAATATAGACGAATATTATGATGATGACTTTGCCACTGCTATTCCGAATGGAGATGGGTCAGAATGGGATATGCCGCCAACATCGCCGGTCGATGGTAAAGATCCATTCTCTTCAATCGAATGGAAAAACATTTCATCTTATGAACTTAAAGCCTTCGAACACAGAATAAACAGTAGTGGATTTAAATTTTTTGATTTCGATGACATGGAAACCAATAATAATGTTTCTGCAACAGATGCAGATGATAAAGCTACTGAGACAACCTATTGCTGGCCTGATGAAATGTTAGGCCCTTTGGCATCAAGTGAAGTTACCATATATCAACCTACACCGTATCACAGTGAAGATGAGGATTAAAAATGACTTTTATATTTGGAGGCAATTTAAGCAAGAGGAAACCACGTGGGTGTAAGATCGGCAATGGCGGATGAAGATAATTAAATGGCTACCTAGCAATTAAAAACGAATTAGATTTTTTGTTTCTTAATGATTTCTTAAATAAAATAATATGTACCATCGTTATATAAACTAGTTTTTTTGTTTCGTTTTCTCTTTTTAACGCGAATAATTAAATAAACTATCTAATAAAATCAGTTTTTTAAAAAATAAATATTAGCCGGGTTAGTTTCGTTATAGGTAGTTCAGAATGGGCTGGGCTTGGGTCTAAATCTTTACAGCTGTTTTCATAATTTCCGGAATATCTAATCAAATTAGCCGAATGATTTTTCAGCCGATTCAACTAAGTTTGTAATTTTGGTATTTATATATATAGGGTATTACTATTTTCACCATGGATTTTTGCTAGTATTTCCATTATGGTTATACAAATTTTTCTGTTTTTAATATATATTTAAAATAAATATTTAGTAAATTAATATAAAAAAATTAATTGCTTAAAATTATTAAAATTTTTATTAAGAAAAGATTTTCTGGTTCTAATAATAGTTAAATTATTAAAATTGGCTTAATAAATTTTAATTTTTTTTTTGTAGTCAAGACTAGCCTCTTTGGCTTATCACTTTTATTAGATGTGTAGAATTATATAGTGCTTTTTTTAAAGGGCTTCAAACAAGTACATTTTGACAAGAATATATATAGACATATATACAACTTTAGTTATTGTCTATTTAAGGGCTCTACTATATCTATTTCTATCTTTAGTTACTCTCTATATATCATATCTAAGATTTATTTTTAGATCTCCTATTTAAACTCTCTAATCTAATTTTTCTATACTAATCTAATCTAATATTATCTATAATTATGAGGTATATTAGTCATTTCACAGCCCAAAATTATTATATTTCATCTATAGAACAACTATTTCTAATATATTCTCAAATATATCATCTGTTAGAGCAGTTTAATATTCACTATTAACTATAATATCTAGTTTTTTTCAATAACTTATACTGGTTCTAAGAATAAATACTTGTAAGTTGAAGCTACTGTATTACTATTATCTGCTTAACCCTTGTAAAATTTACCCAAATTTTGATATTTTCTCTTTAAAACAACCTAGTATCTTCTTTTTTAGTACTCTTTAGTTGATCTTTTTAGACTACCAATTCAAATAGCCTGAAAGTAATATCAGTTTTATAGTATCTGCTAATCTTTTTCTTCTGGTTAATGCTCATACTAGTAGTTTAATTGGTAAATATTAGTAAAGCAACTTGTTAGGTATTTTTATTATGTTCAGTTAACTAGCCTTAGATGAAGCTTATTTTAATGGCTACTATTAAAAGTTTGTATTACTTTTCTTGCCAAATAAGTATTTATTTTTTTAATTTTTTGGATTTATATAATTATAAAAACTTATTTTAAGTTTACATTACCCAATACTAGCTTATATACTTTTATATAATTTATACATTATATGAATACTTCATGATCTTCTAATTTGTTAGTGTTACCAAAGTTATAGAAATCTTGATCCAACTGATTATTATAAGACAGTAGCTATTGTATAAGCAAAATATTCAAAATTTCATTATTAGTAGATTTTGAATTCCAATCTGTCAACATATTGCTTGGGGTATAACAACTTAACTACTTTACTAAGTTATTATACTCTTTTAGTAAATTTTAAGATATTTGAAATTATACATATTGATGAAATTATTTTAGAATCTAAAACCTGAAATTAAAATTTAAAAATAAAATTATTTTTAATCTATTTTACTTAATTGATAATCTGTGAGTCAACAGAACAAAACATATAGTATAACATGATTCAGATTACTATATAAATTATATATGTTTCAAATGCTACAATCATCCAAGGAAAACTTTTTTCTTATTAAGCTAATCGACTTTCTGTATTAAGAATAAGTTGTAAAGCTTATTAAGACGTATCTAATGGTGGTTAGATCATCCAATTGGGCTAGTGGATGTTGAGATATCATTAAAAAACATGTCAACAACCCCAATCACTCCGCAAATAAACAAGATTTGAATAGGAGTAATAGAAGAGGGTTTGCTTGATAATGGTAGAACATAATCCGGAAGGACTAAAATCTTCCTATTATATAAATTTTTATAGAAATTTTACATAATCATTAATATGTTTTTTAATGATATCTCAATATCCACTAGGCTGATTTTGATGATCTAACTACCATTAGATATATCTTAATGAGCTTTACAACTTTTTTTTAATACAGAAGGTTAATTAGCTTAATAAGAAAAAAGTTTTTCTTGGATGATCATAATATTTAAAGCATATATAATTTATATAGTAATCTGAGTCATGTTATACTATATGTTTTGTTCTATTGACTTGTGAATCATCAATTAAAAGACAAAATTTTTTAAAACTTCTTTTTGAAAAGATGAAATTATAAAAAATATAACTACTTAAATTAGATTTGTTTTTGTATATAAAAAATTCTAATTTGCTTTAATGGAAATGAAATAGGTTTTTTTGAAAACTTATTTTAGTAACATGTATATTTGAGATTAAAAATATAATTATAAAGATTTGCAAATTGTTAATTATAAGATTATACAAAAAAATTTTTTTGGTTTAAATAACCTGGTTGAGTCCAATAATTGAAAATTATAAATTATTATATTTTTTAGCTAATAGAAATATAATTATCTAGAATTTAATTTATTAAATTTGAATTTATTAATCATTCAAATAAATCTGTTTTAGCTATAATTATATTTATCATTAATTTTTAACTCTTTCTGCTGATCATCAAAACACAAATTTTCCGAAACACAAAATTAATAAAAACTACAAAAGACACATAAAGCTACTAAGAAACGAATCTTGGAGCTCTAAGAAAAGAAGAAGAGGACTACAAGAAACACTCAGTCTCTTAGGAG